TCACTTTGATCAATTCACTTCTTTTCTTGATCATTCACTTTCTTCTCCACAGTTCTGGTTTGATTTGAAATGGCAACACTTTAAAGAGAAATTATAAGCCAGTAAAAGTAAAAGTCAATTCTAAGATAATTTTCTCTTCTTCTATAAGTTAATAATATTGATAGCAATTACCATGCTCTTTATCACTCAGAATATATGCATTTTGATTTATAAACTGCATTCAGCAATTTATTGTCAAAAATATAAACAGTATATTTTCTTTTTGCAGTTATGGTATTTTTCTGAAAACACATTTGAAATTATATTTCCTTTAATCTGTGATATAGTCAAATAATAGGGTATTTTAAAAATAATCACTGCATAATCTGTAAGTTAGATTTATCCGAGCCAAAGTTCTAAAATGCAAAGAAAAAGATTTTTATTTTTCTAGTTTTTTCATTTCAGTTCTGGATAAATAAGTATTCTGATTGATGTGATTCACCTATATGCATAATAGACTATAATGAAAAAGAAATTGTGTGTTCAAGTAGTGAATGCAATAAAGACTAAGGTCACCTTTTATATTCTATATATAAAAAATTAGTTTAGCCATTTTCCTCATAGATTCCTATAGTTGATCATTAATTAAAAATATTTGTTATCCATACATTAAGACCACACTTTTCTGATTTTACATTTTTGTTAATATTAAACAGCCTAAAAATTAATTGTTTCTAAACAAATATCTTCAAGGAGTTTAGTTGAAATGACACTAGTAGTAATGTCTGACATTTGCCTGACACCTTTAAAATGAAGTGAGGTTTTGGGAGTCACTTTAAGCTTACACATCCTCCTCAATCAAGCTTTATAAAAATTAATATTTTATTATGATATGAAGTATCTCACTGTACCAAGGGCCAATTATTTTGTCCAAAGGCCCAGACTCAAGGTGTATTTTCTGTACCCCAGAAGCCTTACTACAGGACTTGATCTTATTCTGTTATTTCTCACTAGAGAGTGCATCACAGGCGGGTTGGATACATTCAGAGAAAGAAGTGCTAGAGTCTTCTTAGAGTGTGCAATCAGACTGGCAAATGTTCCCAGTCATATTGGACACCATTTTCTGAGGGCATTCACTGATTCATGGGTATAGTTGGATAGCATCCTTTCCAAAAATAAATTATACTTCAAGGACCTCACCTAGAGATATACAGTGTTTCTCTAACTGTTGAAATTTCCTGAACTTTTTCAGTGCTTCATCCAATAGAGTCAATCATTTCAAAGTATTAAGACCAAAATATTCTGATTCTTTTTGCCATTTATATTCCAAAATTTGGAAGGAATTTCAAGATAATTTACTATGCGATATATTATTTACAGTTCTCTTGATTAATAATGGTGGCTATAAGGGCAATATTTTTCAATTTGGGAGAACATTCATTTAAAGAATATATGAGGATGCTGGAAAATATTACCTAAATAATACTTATTTTAATAAATGTTGGTATAAAGTTGATTTAGGCTTATTTTGGTCTTTGTATTCTACCACTAGCCACTAACTCTAAGAGGCAAAAGTGATATCTGTCTTGGTCAGAGGCATAAGTTCAGTATCTACCACAATGCCAAGCCTAGCAATATTAGATACTCAAAAAAACTTGGGAATATAAATGAATGAAGAATATGCTGCTAACAAAGCATTGCCAATTATGGGGTCATGTTAACATTTTTAAAAGAACATCTGTTGAAGAAGAAAAGAGGAAGGATGTGAGCAGTGGGAAACTGAAGATGTCTATCCTTTCTTATTTTCCATTTTTCTACTGGCAAGAAACGTGCAACTTCTCCACCTTATTTCATATACATATGTGTGTGTGTGTGTGTGTGTGTATTAGCATTACTTATAGAAGAGAAATTGAAAACACCTTAAAGATCCATCAACAGAAAATGGCTTAAGATATCAATCTATATTTATACCCTTTCATTAACTCATCCTATCAACACATTAACTGAGCATCCACAATTTGTCAGAGACTGTGGGATATATCATGAAGAAAAGTGATCCAGGCCCTGCTTTCATGGGGCTTAACAATCTGGTAGGGAAGACAGGCAGTAATCAAGGAATCACACATGTAGATACATGCTGGAAACATAGATAGATAAATAGATAGATAGATAGATAGATAGATAGATAGATAGATAGATAGATAGATAATTGGTCCACTTAGTTTTACTATTCTCAAGTTTTGACTTACCTTATATTCAACTAAAAAGATATCATTATAAGTTGTCTTCTTTTATTTGCAAACACCAATTTAATGTACATATCAATAACGGATTCACTCTCTGAAATAAGAAATTCCATGTTTATCAGATCTAATGGACATCTGGAGGGACTACTGTTAAGTCCATTAATTGACCATCAGTTTTTACTGAACTGTATAGTTAGACAAGGTCAAACAGACTTACTGTTTACTACTTTCTCACTAATAGTCATAGTTATAAATGAAGAATAGAAAAGCTTCTTAACCTTAGTTTCTAATGGTGAAATGGTAAGTTGGATAGAAAAAAAATGTACATTAAACTCCAAGGAATCTTTGATTCTGCAACTTATTAGAGTTCTATCTCTTTAATTAAATTGTGATTCCAGATATCCATATCTAATTAACACAAATTGGAAACAAAGGCATTTCAAATAAGGTGACATAACTTTCTAACCTGACAAAGTGCACTGAAAGCAGGTGAAAGCAGGTTCTTAGCTCACATTGGCATGAAATAAGACCTTACTATATAGCACAGAAGTAATGCAGGGTGATTACATATGCATCATTAAAACAAGTTTTTTAAGATTTCATTTTGTTTTGTTTGTTTTTGCTCATTAAGAAAAATGACTACAAATGGATCAGAATGATTTTTTGAGAAAAATACACCCTCAGGTATATAATTTTCTTTTACAAAACAAATAGGTATTTATTACATCTCTTTTAGTTCAATACCCTAAGAAACAGAATTGTTTCCAATCTGCTTGAGATATTCACTAAATAGCATTCACTGAGTTACTAAAATGGCAGTGACTGAAAGTATTGCCTTTTCTTTTCTTCTATTAAAATATTTTAACACCATTTGAGTGGAGTTTAGTTCAATAGTTAAAATAGAGACGCAAAGTTAAACAAATGACTGTTCTGAAAAGTTGTGATTTCTGACTCTATTTTTCCCCCTGTGACTTGTTTCTTTGGGCTCTTACAAATGGTTGATGGCAGTGCTGAACCAGAGTGTTTTGGTAAGTATTCATTGACTTTTGACAGTCTGTGATAATTATAGAGATAGAAAAGAGGCATTTTCTAAACCATAAGAATGCATGTGTTGTATTATTTTATAGGAGGAATATTTTATAGCATGAGGATGCAGTTTTTCTCCTGTTAGTCATCTGTGTGTTTCTTCATTTTCCAGATTGTACCCAATCCGCAGTTCTTACCAGGACAAAGCATCCTTTTAAATCAATAAGAACAAAAAGCTCAAATAAAGAATGCTGAATCAGGCCCATTAATGCCATACTAATTATGCAATGAACACACAGTACAGTTTACAGTAGACCTTTCTAAGACCTAACCATAACACTAAAAGCTCAGAGTCCATTCCAGGAGTAAGAAAGCCTTCATAAAAATTTTATTTATCTTGAAAGGCAAATGCTTGTTCATTGCATAACATTGAAAGACATGCTTACTCCTTAGTCCTCCCTAAACATCATTAGATATTTAGATGAACAATAATTCTTAACGGTGTCAGTAAAGCCAGTAAAAGAATTGGTTCTACAGAGACATAAGAATTCAAATACTTTAAGGAGACTGGGTGGAGGGTAGAGTGTGAAGAGGTGTGAGCTGGGGAGACGAGATTGAGGCTCATTATTAAAATTATCTAAATATGGAAAGAAAGTCTAGGTTTCTCTAGACCTTAATTCTTAGTACTTGTAATGCCTCAGGTACCTTAAAGTAGTTACCCATATGCCTGCTTATGTATTTCAGTTTCGTGTTTGTGTCTGTCTGTGTGCTTGTTTGCCTGAATGTAGTTTTCCCTGGCAGCAGCGTGTGTTTGGTGTACGTGTGCATATGTATGAGTATGAATTAATTACATATTGAAAACATCTGCATTAGCGGCGTCTGCAGTCCTCCCTCGCTGCTCCAGTCAGTCGGGATGTTTAGCTCCGTCACTTGGTGTTAGGACCACTCGGAAGACCTGCCTGTCGGACGCCTGATTGTGGTTCCCGGAGGGCCGGAGCTCCGGGAGCCTGTACCATCTCTATCTGAAGGGGAGGAGAGAAGGAAGATAGAAGGCATCCGAGCGAGGAGGTTCTCCCTCCCGCAGCTGGGTCGGGGGCAGCCAGGGTTGGAGCCCGGTTCTAGGATTACACGGCAAATCCCCAACTTCAGCACCGCGGACAGCAGCAGCACCCGCCTAGGGAGAGGCGCGCGCCTCCTGCCTCCGCCCCCGCCCCGGCTGCTGGACCCCGGCCCGTCGGTACCTTCTCCCTTTTGCTTTCAAACCAGGCGAGGGCAGGGCAGAAGGGTTCTGGCAGCCAGAGGGGTACGGTAAGGAGGAGGAGGAGGAGGAGGAGGAGGAGGAGCCGAGGAGGGGATCGAGAAGGGAAGAGAAGGGAGGGCTCCCCTCCGTCTCCCTCGCCTCCGGGCTTGCTGGCGCTGCTGGCGGCGGTGGCGTCGCCTGCTCTCCGGCTGCCGCGGCTGCTGCTCGCGCTCCGCCGCCCGGGAGCTGCTTCCCGGCGCCGCGCCGAGGCCGAGCGCGCGCCGCCGGCTGCGCTGCGCGCTCCGCACATACACAATCTCTCCATGTGAGCTGACAGACGTTTGGAAACCCCTCTGAGTCACGCTGCCCAGTGGCGAAAGGAGCGCTCGTCCGCAGTGGCAACAGCAGCACCACGGTCCCCGTCGCTCTCCCTTTCTCTTCTGCAGCCTCCGCTCTTCTGATCCCCCCAACTGCCCCTCCTCCCCGTCCTTTGCTCCCCCCGCCGAGGAGGAGAGGGCGGGGTAGGTGTCCATCCCCTCCTCTCTCCCCCCTCCTTTTCCTTCTCGGTTTGAATTTCTTAACCCCCCCCCCCCCCGCCCCCCGGCATTACACCGGCTCACGGAGCAAGAGGCAAGACCGCGCGGAGGGAAAACGAAGGCTGAGACTCCCCTGCTGCTCTAAGCCCAGAAGAACTGAAGCCTGGCGCGGGGAGGTGAGGGGAGAAGAGGAAGAGGGAGGGGCTTGGCTTTCTCTCCTGTCTGAGGACAGCCCATCTCCCCTGGAGAACCCCACGGAGAGCCGGACTGCCTCTCCGCAGCGAGCTTGTGGAGTACCGCGGGCCGGCGGGCGAAGGATGGTGTCGGCTCCGCGGGCCGGCTGCGGGGCAGCGCTTTGGCTGTGGATTGCCAGCAGCTTCCTCTGCAGAGCCTGGACGGCTCCCTCCACGTCCCGTAAGTAGCCTTCTCCGTGAGCTCGCTCTGCGCTGGAGCAGTTCAGTGCCGCATTGGTGTTCGGCACCCGGGTACCAAGTCTGAGGTGCATTCGCAGTTCTCGCCCCCTGATGTGTGTGTGTCTCCGCCGTCACACACTTGCAGACACTGCAGTAGAGAAACTCCAAACCCAGCGCTCCTGGCTTGAAAGAGAGGGTTTTGACTCTGGGTGATGCTTCTGGAAAGTTGTTCCTGGTCTTGGAAATTGGCTGGCAACAGCTTGGTTAGAGTCATTAGTGTAGATGGCAGCTTCTTGAGAGTTTGTGTAGAGAGAGTGAATTGCATTTTGCTTAGGTAGGTCAGTGAAATGAAAAGCGAAGAGCATGGCAAAAATAAGTTTCTTGCTTGTATTTATGGCTTTAACTTAATGAGCAAGGGTTTGGGGTTTAAAAGGAGGCATATTTTAAACAGTTTGGGCACCTATAGAATTCTCTTTAACCTCCCACGTTCCCCTAAAAAGTTAATGTCTGTTTAGTACTTGCTTATTAAAATGGAAGGCATCGAATGCAAAACTGAACTGAAATTGCTTTAACTCTTTGATAGTTTGATGTAATGGATAGGATCAACGCAGTCCAGGACTTGGGACACCGTGCAAAGCATTGTCAATGCAATAATGAACAGATTCTTGAAAGAGTTTTCAAGAAAATAATGCTGCTTAGCATGTATATATTGTGTTTTGACCAGGTTTGTGTGTGTGTTTAGGATGTTTTAGGACTGCTCTTGTCTTTATGAGGTTTAGGAAGAAATGGAAGCTTCTGGGTCGTTTTCTGCATTGCTTTAGAAGTGCATACTATGCATGTAAAGAGGAACTGCATGACTGCTCCTTTGGCTCAGAAAGAGTTAAACACTAGAAAGATTGCCTGTAGGAATCACAGGATAACATTCATAAGCACAAACTTTTTCTGAGAATGAGTGAGTTGGTAAAGAATTATCATGGAGATTTTAGAGTTTAAAAAGAAACATTTTGCATTTAGCGGAAAAAAAGTTTAGTATTTTCCAGAATTTATATGTGAAGTTTTCCTCTCTCTGTTTATAAGATTTAGGGGTGTATTAATGAATCTTTGTGCTGTGTTAGTAATGCTCTTGCTCTAGTGTATACAAAGTAATAAGAATAGCGTTGAACATGGATTTTATAAGTTGTGGCAAGCAATCTACTAGTGATATCCTTTGATGAGTCAGTATTACCGTTTTTGACATATTTTCCTAAGTTCAGTGTTATCTTTTTTTTTGCAGTGTTTAAAGATAAGGACAGACATTAAAATGGTATCTAAGTTTTTACTGGACTTGAACAATTTTTACAGCTTATTTCACAACACAGATTAAACTTCAAAAAAGTTATATATTGTTAATATTTTATGTCAATTTTATAAATTTAAACATAAATTGTGAAGATATAATGCTCGATGTTGATATTCACACAAATATCTACCTATATCCTTGGAAAACTATTCTAATAAGTATCAGTTTTTACTTCAAGATCTAGTTATACAGAACTTGCTATCACTTTTTCTGGAAAAAATAAACTCATTATAAGTTCAATTTATTATGTTCACTGATCGAAAGCCTCAATATCCAAGGTTTTTCCTGGGTTCTGGGTTTGATCTTTCTGTATGCTTCAATTACAGTTCATCAGTCAGAAATATTCACCATGTGTTGAGAATGGCACATTGAATGAATATGTTTTGAGAATGAAAAAGTTGTTATTTAAATTTTTTTTGTCTGAGATTTTACCACTTGGAATTTGGTGATAGGGAAGAACACAGGAACCATTACTTTTAAGATAGTTAAGAGTTATGCTTGATTAGTAATATTTATTTATTTAACTCTTATTTGCCATTGTTTAAAATGTAAATGACTTAGTAATTAAGATGACATTATTTCATTTGAATTGAAACTGTGTGATCAAAATGCAAAGTTTCCCTATAACCTGGAAATGAATTAATGAGAATGATATATAGGCCCTGACTAATTAAAATGAGCTGCACAGATTCAGTACTTTAAATTTCAACTGCAGTTTTATATTTAATAAAAATATTTATATTATATGTAACTCTGAAGAAGAATATTAGTTATATTTCTGAACTAAAAACAATAAAAGGAGAAAAAAGTGAAAACTACATGAATCTAAGATAATGAACAACTCAACCAGGAGAGGTCATCACAAGACAAAAAGTAGCATGAAAATTTAAAAGTAAAGTTTTAATTTAGTACACATTTTAAAATGTGATAACTATGCTAAAACTTTCTGTTTTCAAGTAACTTTTTGATTAGAATGGGCATATAGGATGCCATTAATACTTTTTATTCATTTTGTACACCTCTGCAAATAAGTAATTTGCTTATATCTTATTTTTCTCAGCTGTTGAAATGTATATGAAAACTGTCATCACCACGTTTTTGTACAAGTAGACTATAATACACTTTTGGAAAGATTATCGGTATGGTTAAGTAAAAATACAATCTAATTTCTTTGCAGATAGTGAAAAGGAGCAGCTGCTGAGCTAATGGAATCATATATCCTCCCTTCTTGTAAATGACTGCACACATGACTCACTTGGGAAGTTTAAAGACAATCTTTTACTCCTAGGGAGTTGTATTTATTTGAAACTATTAGAAAGATCTTGACTGTGCAGTTCTAAATTATGAGCATTTAATCAATTTAGTTTCTAAAATTCACTGAATTTTGGTTTAAATAAGTATTCTCTGAAAAAGGGCAATGCATATTACTTCGAATACCCTATGATTTCACTGACTATTACAATTGAAATATGTTTTTCATTGATTCAAATACTTTTTAACAAATACTAATTTGCATATACATATATACACATGCTATGTGTATATATGTATACATATATGTATTTGGTAAAATCCTTTATATACATGTTATAAAATATATAGATATATTATATTATCTAATGTAGGGTACATATGAAGTATTTATTATATGTAAACATGTGAATATTTATATATTTTCTAACATGTCATTCAAAAAAGTTAAGTTGTTCACAAGTTTATAGATACGTCTTCTCTATTGCAATTATTTTAGGTAACTAATGCAGCAATATCAAGCAATAGTTTATTGATTTATTTTCTAGCTCTTCAATTCATATACTTTTCCCAAAGTGGTATATTTTAAGTGGAAAATACATAAATACTTATAAAAACAAATATGACCAGTTTATATTGACTACGAACATAGTAATGAGTTTGTCTTCTAAGAAGAAGCTTTAGGCCAGTAAAATTCATTGATTGAAAGAAGTAGTACATTATTTTCTTAATGTAAACTAATAATAAAATTATCACTAACTTTGGAGAGATATGTAATCATAGTTTTATTATAGGCACCTGATACTCAGGAAATAAACATCTTTGTTCAAGTTTTACTATCCTTATCATCAATGTGTGACACAATTGGGTTGAAAAAATATACACAAATTTAATTCAAGTTTTTATTAACCTTTACATATTTACAAACATACAACATATAATTTCAGGTGACATCAAAGTTGTTTGATGTACATATTTTAAAATTCACGTCTAATACATTCATGCACCACATATTGACGTTTTGATTAATAACAGACCACATGTATGATGGTGATCCCATAAGGTTATAGTGGTGCTGTCATATACAAGTGTGCCATTTTTTTATCTTTCATATTGTATTTTTACTGTAACTTTTGTATGTTTAGATACACAAATACCATTGTGTTACAGTTGCCTGCAATATTCAGTACAGTAACATGCTGTACAAGTTTGTAGCCTAGCAGCAAAAGGTGTACAATATAGCCTATGTACGTATCTAGGTTTGTATAAGTGTATTCTGCGATGTTTACACAATATCAAAATTGTCAAAGGACATATTTTTTGAACATATTCCCATTGTTAAGCAACTCATGACTGTATAAATATTTTTTCTATTTTAAGGAACTAGGACTTTTTTTTTTTTTTTTTGAGTTGGAGTCTCTCCCTCTGTTGCCCGGGCTGGAGTGCAATGGCATGCTCACAGTCACTGCAGCCTTGACCTGCTGGGCTCAGGTGATCCTTCTGCCTCAGCCTTCTAAGTAGCTGGAACTACAGGCATGCACCACCAAACCAGGCTAATTTTTTGATTTGTTGTAGAGATGCGGTCTCGCCAAGTTGCTCAGGCTGGTCTCGAACCTGTGGGCTCAGGCAATCCTCTCACCTTGGCCTCCCAAAGTGCTGGGATTATAGGCATAAGTCACCTTGCCCAACCAGGACAAGATCTTTTAACTTCTATACTTTCTCTGAGATTTTAGTACATTTACCTAATTAGTAAACTTTTCTGAGAAAAACCTATTAAATCTTTAAAATGGAACTAATAAACCTTCTTGTCTGATGTATCTTTTTTATGATTGAAAGATAAATGTGCCTACACTTGTCTTGCTTTTTTTTAAAAAATAGGAATCTTTTTTATTTGTTTTAGATGGTCTGTAGAAAATGTGAAATTTTAGGCTCAGAAATTCTTAATTTAAATGCAGTTTGTGATTTTCTGAAAAATATTAACCATATGGTGATCCATCTTGTGCAATTTGTCTGTGTAGTGATTGATGTAAATGAGATGAAGAAATAAAATACATACTTTCAAGATTTTCTTATACTTAGTGCTGATTTGAGAAGTGCTTTACTTTTCCATTCTTTGTTACTTGTAAGTTAAATAATGGAGTATATAGCAATTTTGACCTCAACACTCCAGTGTTGTGTGCAATAATAAAGTAAATTCTATATTCGTATCTATTTCAGTATCTGAAATTGAATATTATCAGTGTTTCTAGAGAGATACATATTTTAGGATAAGTAGCTATTCAAAATATAACATATATATCCATAAACATCTAATATGAGGCTGCTGAAATAAGGTATATGTTTATATTTGCGATTTTCATGTGTAAGGGTGAAAATGAAATGATATTTATCCATTCTTTAACTTTTCAAAT